TATATATATATATATATATATATATATATATAAGTTGGCACCACACCAGAAAATTCTTTATAAATTAATTATTAATAATAATATTAATCCAGGCAAATATTCCTTGAGAATTTAAAGGGTTGAACTTTACTTATTTTTAACACATTAATGGCATGATTTTTTTCCAGATATCTCGGAGCAAACCTCAAGTGGGTTTGAAGATTGGCAGCCTGAAAGGGAAAAGGAAACAGCAAGACTTCAATCAGAAGAAAGTACTTCAGAAAATATTAGCAAGTCATTTAAAAAAAATACCTTAGTGTACAAGTATTCACACGTGTCAGTTTTACCATCCTGGGTACATTACGTTGGATGGGAGATTATCTTAGTGTCAGTATTTAGCAGTCTGTATTATACACCTGTTTACACATTATGGTAAGTATAAAGTATTTCTTTCTTTAATACAGCATAACTATAGAAGGCATTAAAGTTTATTTTTGAGCTCTAAATTGTTATGCCTTACACTTCAAAAATGCATATAAATCCATCATAAAATATTTAATTAAGTTATTTGTTATTTTATCCATAGGTTAAACCCTCTTCAGGTTTTGTGTTGGCTTCAAACATATGTCATCAGTTTGCTTTGTGCTGCTTTTATTGTCTATCCTGTGTGGGTAAGTAAAGCATAATGTATTTATTGTTCATTAATAACATAAACCTTCATAATAGAAAACTTTGTTGTTGTTTTTTTTTTGCAGTATTTCATTTGTAACAAGTTTATTCCAGTGGTATGACATTGTTTTCAGGTAGCTGTTTTATGGAACATTATCTGTGGCTTTTCTAAGAATTATACTGATTCATATACCTAGGTTTGTTGTGTTTGTATTCATCTATTCTTATGCAAAATTAATAGTTATTAAATTTAAATCAATCCAAATAGAGGTTTACAATTAAAACTTATATGTGGTGTTCCTGTGTTTTCTGCATTATAATGTAACACAGATTTTGCTTTCTCTTCATCTTAAAAATGTATCAAAATTCGTTTATATTTGTATACTTTATTTATAAATAGACGTGTTTGTTTTATCTGCTTTATCAGCAATGATTAAGACATACTTCTGGAAAGGAAACATTACATCTCCATTAGTATGACACCAAAGTAACATGTTAGCTCTAATATGATTGAAGTATTTTCTCCTCTTAACCAATCACCTTTAGTATTTTTCTTACAAAAGTGGATAAACTGGAAGGTTTCAACCATAGCAGAGCAGTTATTAAAACTAGGTCATTTCATATAAACAAAGTCTAGTATATAAATATTATAATGAATGTTATAATAGAAGAGAGAAATGTGTTTACAAACCAATTACGAAAATTGAAGTCAAACCTTTAATAAGATTCACTATTTTTTGTTAGTTAATCAAGAAAGATATTCATGTCATTGAAAATAGTAGTTGTACTGTATGATGTATGACCTTTTTTTATTTTTTAAAGAGTTAATAACTCGAAAATTAAAGTCAAACCTTTAATAGGATTCACTATTTTTTGTTAGTTAATCAAGAAAGATATTCATGTCGTTGAAAATATTAGTTGTACTGTATGATGTACAACCTTTTTTTATTTTTTAAAGAGTTAATAGCTCGTGTTTCAGCCATTTATACTACTTAGTATGTAAAAACAAATTTTAATGTTGTCTATCAGTGTGTGCTGAAATTTAGGTCTTGTAAAAATTAATCATTTTCATTTTTATAATATATGTTCTTATTGAGCCACTTCAAAATGTACAGTCATTTTTATATTAAAAGGAAATTTATGTTGGCAATTATTTATATATATATATATCTTTCAGGTGTGTCTCTTGTCGCTATTGAAATCCATTGTTGAAATCTTTAATAGTCACAAAATAAACCACCACCTATGTGGCTGTTGTCGCAATGACTTAAAAAAAATGCTTGAAATGAAAGAGAATGCTGGCACAACAACACCTGAGCAGCAAGCAAATCCATTGGTTAATGATAAAGAAGTTTGCAATAGGCAACACCTCCGATACTTAAGGTACTTGCGCCCACCACCAGAAAGTGCACTCATTGAGTCCAGGCTGCAAGCTCAAAAAGCCAGAAAGTTCTGTTTTGCCTTCAGGTAGTTAATTCTAATTCCCTTCATTTTAAAGTTATTAAAGTAACAAAACTGCTTTAAACAAACTTGAACACTTCTTTCTGACAGAGTAACGTTAATTTTAGTCATTACAGATGGAAAGATGTATGTGTCACGTACTAATTCTTAAATAGTTGGTCAGAAATTAATATTTTTTTTTTCAGACTGTTTAATACAAACAAAAAAAGACTCAATTGCAGTATCTTGTATGCTATCTTGATCTTGACAAATTTTATGTCATTACCTGTAGAATTTTGTCCCCACTATTTTGCAAGAAATTTATTATGTCTTAATTATATTTTTTACTTAATAGAATTGATTTATTCATTCCAAATACTTTGTGAAGCTTATACTTTACTGGTCTTATTGAAGAGATTTATGTATTTCTTTTCCACTGCAAATGTCAGTCCTAGTTGTATTCAACATTTTAAATAAAACATTAAATTGTGTTGAATGTTACACACAGTCATAAATAATGTAAGTATAAAAATAATACAATTTTTATGAATTATAGTTAATATCTGTAGCTTTATTTTTTTTATGTTTCAGTTACTTACTGATGAGTTAACACACTGCTTAGAAACACAAATCTGTGTGGACTAATATTAAGAATATATATTTTGTTTTCTATTTTTAAGGGGTATACTAGGGTTTGTCACTATTCTTCTTATCCTGGTGGTTGTGGCGTATGGTCGAGATTTGTCTTCCCAATTTCACCTGAACAACTCTGTCAAGCGAACCTGTCTAAGGCATGTTAAAACTAGTTAAAATACTAACTTCATATTAATGTTGAAACTTTTACCAGAATTTAAGCTTATTAATTCTTCATATGTTAAGGAGGGGGGTTCAAAAAGATAAGGTTTATTGACTGTGCAAACTAAATGAGTATTAAACAAGTTAATGTGCAAAATAAATACAATACACATTACTTTATTAAAAAAAGTTATAAGTAATCTTAGAAAATATTTAAACAAAGTGAAATAATTATAATAAATAAGAGATTTTAATTGTTAATTTATTCTTCAGGTGATCATGATATTTGAAACTTTGGGGGGGCATATAGTTTTGTTGTATCAAATAGTTTTATAAGTTTATGTAGTTTACTTGTATTCATTTCTGGAATGTTTTCTTTTATGATGTGGAGGTATCAGTCTTTTAATTAATTTTCTGTTGGAAATTAATACTTATCTATTCCTGCTGTGTATATTTAAATTCAATATTCTTGTGTGTATTGTTAACAGAAGTGGACTGTATCCTCTGCAACATGTTAAAACTTGGGCAAACTGGTGGGATTGGATTCAACATGACTTCTTGTCTTCTTTTTATCAAAACGTTTATAAGCCAGACCCATCCAGACTAGATTTTCCCACTGGTAGTGTATTAGTGGAGCAGCCAAGGCTGCGTTTGTTTCAGGGTCTCAGCCAACCCTATTCTAAATCTCTAGGACTTGCACTGAAGTTTGGACAACAGCTTACCTATTATGAACATTCAAGTGAATGGAATGTAGTGAACCATAATTCCTCCTGGGGTACACGAAAGTTGTGGGGTCAACATAGTACCTACTGGGGTGGAAGTGACATTGCCAATTTATCACTTGAAAGGTAGGATATTTATAAATAAAAAATCTTAATTTTTCTTAATTTGCTTCTAATGAGAATAAAATCTTCAGCTTATAGCATATAATCTTGTGACAAACATGTCTAACAATTAAAGGGAAACCATTTAGTTAAAAATGTTTATTACGTTTAGTTACAAACACCTTGAGAAAACATATATATATATGTATAAACAAATAATTCTTTTTAATTACGAATTGAAAGTATTAACAGATTTTTGTTTTCTTTTTGAAAATAGCATTATGTGGATAAAAAATTTCAGATAAATGTCTAGATTACATTTCAATGTTATTTTATAAATTTGTATCTCATTGTTGCATATTTATATAAAATTATATTTTTAGATAACTTATGAATACATATTGACTTTTAGGTTTTTTCTTCTCTAGTATCGTAATTTAGGTATAAATTTTTTATAATCTTGAATATGCTAAATCTTTACATGCAGGTTTATAAAACTAGATATTATGATATGTGGTTTAACTTCTTTCTATTTTTCTTACATCATGGCTTAATTTTTACATTTATTATTACCTTCACCATAAGTTAGGCCTCAAGTTTTTTATTGTTTCAGATATTTAGTATGTAAAATAAACTCCAGTTAGCTTTTTTTTTTTCTTTTAGCGATGATTATAAATAAAGTAATAAATAATTAGAATAATTAATGTATTTCATTCTACTTAGGAACCAAGCCAGCATCCAACTTCAACAACTGAGAAATTCTTCATGGTTGAATAGAAACACTCGTGCAGTATCTGTAGAATTTCTTTTGTATAATCCTGTGTTTTCTCTTTTCACGTAAGTTTGTTACTGCAAAATCAAAACATTTTTACTTGTTATAGCAATTTTGAATCCTGTAATGTAAATGTAACTTGGTGAGTACAACAAATCCATTGTAACTTGTCATAAAGTTCATTCCGGTGGACTGTAGCAGTTCACAGACTGGTGGATCTGTGTAACAATTTTTATGAAAATGGATGTTTGTAGTGTAAGTGTGACTGTACATTATAGAAAAACAATTGAATGAAATAAATATTTTGTAGGGTATTAAAATTTCACTGTTGTAACCCAAAAAATAATAAAAGTGTTTTATTTTAATATTTTTGCAGATCCGTTGTGCTGTTAACAGAATTTCCACCCAGTGGTGGCGTTACAGTTGTTCCTTTTATCTCTTCTACTCAACTGCATAATTACGTGACTCCGTGGGACCACTGTATTTTAGCCTGTGAGGTATGATTTTCACATTGCTGAAACATAACATTTTAATACTTCTCAGATATCTTTTTATGTATACCTAATTTTTTGCACAGTGTTGACTTTTTCTGGTTTAGTATATATATATCTCAAAAGAAGAGTTAAGTTCATGTTAATTTTATTTCTGTTTTAAGTAAAGTATTTGTTAAATTCTCTCAAAACATCATTGAACTTCAATAATTCTTACTAGTGTACAATTTATTGAAGTTACTTTACCGTATTACAAGATGTACACGAGTTATACATTTTGCTGGAATTTCTAGATTTGGTTAGATATACAGGTAACTAAGGTTTTAAAACATTCATTAGACCATTTTAAATAGATATGAAGATATATTCCCTTTTTTATTAATAAGATGCTCTTTTCAGTTTCCCACTAAGATGAGGTCATTGATTTGAAGGTCGTTGACCACCTGTGTGATATGTATAATCAGTAATTTTGAACTATAACGTGACTAGGGGAAACATTCTTTTATATTTGGTTATATTTTAGTTGTTTCATGAGGAAAACTATATGTTTATTAATATTTCTTTATCTGTAATATTTTCCTTTTTAATACTCGGCATAACTTTCTATATAAAATATTTTTTGGTGTTTCCAGTTTTTGCTGTTCTTAGTAATTGGATGGAGAATGAAGCAGGAGGTTTGGCATATGTTAAAGCAAAGAAAACAGTACTGGTTAGATCCTTGGAATGTTACAAAGGTAAGAGAGCTATCATGAGCTCCAAGATTTCAGAATTCTGGTGGAGTGTTACCAAATTAATCTTCCTTATCTTATTGTGACAACAAATTTAAATATGTGGAACTAACTTTATAATAGGTAAACAAAGATTGTTAGTAAAATATCTAAGTATCATATATCTAGTAGTGTTGGTTTTCAGGTGCACAAAGGACAAGGCTTAGGACTAAAAATTAATTTTTACATCTCACTTTCCTGACCTAATATTCAATTTTAAAATTAAAATTATTTACCCCAATAAGTATGCCATTCAGGTGAAAATACCAGTACTAAAAACAATTTTTCTGACAGTTGGAAACAGTGAAGAATAAAATTTGTCATGTATCTTTTAACCCTTTTGAGATGGGTCACAGGTGAAAGGCCATGTCATCTTGTTTATTGAATTACTATTTTATGAAATTCTGGCAGTACATTTGGTATCAAACTGTAAATTATAATTCAAATTTTAGTACTATATATTATCAATTTCTTAATTAAAAAAAAAAAATTAAAAAACATAAACATCGATTTTTGTGTGTCACGTGGCATGTTGAATGCAGCACTGGTTCAAATTAGATGTTTGTGAAGTCAAAATACTAAGTCTGTAGTTTCATACGAATTAGAAACTCAAATTACCAATATTGACAAGATAAAATATAAAATATGAGCCTCTTATCTTTTCAGTTTGCTAAGATATTGCTCATGTAATAAATCAAGCTTAGTGGCACCCTGTCCACCTCTTTCCATTTTTGGAAATGCTCACTTATATACACTTCTATATATAACATGAATAACCAATCGGAAGCTCAGAATGTCCCCTAGTGGCTCTTTCAGTTTAATGGACTTGGTGGCATTTTTTTTCTTTTGAACCAGTATTTCAATGAAGTAGGGTGTGTTTTTAGTCTGCTTGAAATTTCATATTTTTTTAGACTAAAATATATCTTAGTTACTAAGCTTAATAAATTATAGTGGAATTCTCTGGTATTAATGTAGTAATTTATAATTTTTTAATTATTGAAATGTATATATAAAACCTAAAAAAAAATATTTTGATTTATATCCTCCACATGCAAAATTTTTAAAGGCTTAGCAACCTACGTCAAGCAGAAACCTTGTACAAAGATCATAACTAGAAGAGATAATTGTTTGCTTTACTTCTTTATTTACTGTTCTATGTTTTAGGAAAAATATTTTTAAGAACTTATTTCAAAATAGCAATAATCTATATACATATATAATGTATAATAATTGAAATGTGACTGTATTTTACAAAATACTAGTCTACTAAAATACAGCAAAAACAAGTTACTTTGCACAGACCAAAGGTCAGTTTTATATTATTTGATACAGTAACATGAGAGCACATGAGCCGCGTCATTGTAACTTCTGTATTGTTAGCTAGGCACAGGTGAAAGGTCAATATGATAAAAATAATAAATATATATATAAATGTATAATGTTATGAGATTTAGCTATTTAGTCTAAACATTTATGTTTTCATGTTATAATTTGTGTTCATTCTAGAATGAAAAAGGCATAATTTATATTCCTAATTTTTTATGGTGGTTGCGATATTGGTCAAATCTACCAAACCCGTACAGAGATTAATTACTGAAAATAACAGATAAAGATTAAAGTTTTTTCTTCAAAAATGTTTGATAACTAACTCGACATTATAAAGATTTCACATGTGAAATTTCAAAATTTTCAGATGCATAAAAGTATTTTTAATCTTAAAATGAAGATTACTTTGCATAACAGATAGGCAACATGCGAAAAGAAAAAATAGACATGAGAAAAACATTGATTTATAAACCTTAAGACTTAATAAAAAAATTTATATTTTGCATATGAAAGTATTGTAATGTTTACTGATAATCTGTCTAATTTCATTAACATTCGCTTACTAATTTAAAAGTTATAGCATGAAAACTATAACAAGCACGAAATGGTTACAGGGTTGGTCCTAGGGACCGAGCCCATGCTGAAAGAGTTAATTCTTGCTGTTCTTTGTTTACATGACATCCTGTTGTACTCACTGCACTGAAAAACTTTTAACAGTAAAGACCAGTGTTGCATGAAAGATTGAGCTTATATTTCCCATAATGTCTCAAATGAACACTTCTCTCTAATAAATATTATTTTTTATTCTTATAGGTTCTGTTTTTGATGGTTGGTATCATCTATATTGTATGTTATATCTACCGATACGTGCTGGTTAAGGAGGCTATGTATGCTCTAAGAAAAGGCTCTGGCCACTCTTTGCCTACTTTTATTCAGCTAGCAGAGTGGAATCAGGTATACTTTGTTTATTAAAATTACACAGTGATCATCAACATTGTAGATTATTTATCACTGACTTGAGTTAAAACTTTGAAATTAAACTATTTTGATAATTAATTATAACCCATTATATGAAGTTTCTCCTATTAACTTTTTATTGTCTTAAAAGGAAAGAATAACTTATGAGCAATGTCAAATTTTGAATTTGACTTTTCAATCTATATTTATTTTCTTTGTGAAAAACATCTGGAAAAAATTGTCAAAAACGGTTTTCACACTTCAGAGTATTAAACAGTATCAACTTTAACTTTACATGTTTGCTTTGAAGTTATCAAGTAAGATTTTGTATTTAATTCCTTTTACCTTATATTATTTTCTTTAAAAATATATTTTGTAATATAAAAAACATAGACACAGTGAAACTCACACAATACATATATATTGTGAGTCTAAACAAGTTTCAGTTTGTTTTATCTATGGTAATATGCATAATTATCAAACTAACGCATCTCCCTTTCCACAGATTATACGAGGACTAACAGGACTTTTGATTTTTATTCATCTTATTGCAAGTATTTCTCTGCTTGAACTTGACACCACATTCAAAAAGTCCCTCTTTGCTCTACGAACTGTTTCAAAACAATTGTTTTTGCTGGGGGTAAGTAATTATGAATTAGGCAATGAGAATAAATGTGAAATTTATTATCCTGCATTTGATTGTTCCAATAATATTAAGTGAATGTAGCATTCACTTAGAATAACAGCAATATACAAAAATATTAAAATTATAATCAAAGAAATAATTATGTAAAATAATAAGCAATGTTTGAATTCTCATATAGTTGTTCTATAAAAAATACAATTGAGCAGAAACGTATTTTTTTCAATGTTCAATAAAGTATAAATTTATTAAAAATGTTGTGTTTAAATTTCTGAAAATGGGGAGAATAAAATATTTTTAAAGAGTATACTTTTATAAACTATCATGGCGTGGTATATTCAGGTCAAACTGATTTTCCGTAGAGCGGTGGAATATGTCCACTGAATAACAGTCTGAAACTGTGTTTGTAAAAAAAAATTTTAAAAAAGTTTCGACACAGTGCAAAATACAATGAAAAATCTTAATTAGATAACACAAACAACATGTGTTTCTGTTTGCTTAGATGCTGGACTGTCACTTCCTGTGTATCATAAGATATTTCCTCCCTCAACTGCATCAGTTGAAATTGTATAACCAGACTGTCACCCTTGAGAGTTTAAAGTTTAAATCTAACATTCATTACTTAACAGGTGATGTTAGATTTACCCAGAGTATCTAGTGACTGGTCGTTTTTATTCAAAAATAATAGAGGTTGTAACCTCGAGACACCACCTGACCTACCATTAAAGGACACAGCTGTCTACATTCTTGCACAAAATAAAATAATACATCCATGTATCTGATGAGGAAAACAGGTGATATATAAAGAGAATGAAAAAGGAATAAAGACAGCTAGAAAAAAACCACTTAATGACTTTCTTGACCACATGTTATGTGAAAATTACAGGTATCAGAATATCTGGAAAATTTCAAATAATACTACATTAAACTAAGAAAGTAGAAATGCATGGTATTTTTTTATATTGTACAATGATGTGATTAGTTTGACTGTAAAAACTATGTTTCAGTACTTAATTTTTACCTTATTTTCATGTCTACTTGTATTGCTCTTCATAATACTATGGTTTGCACCAAGTAGTTACTTCAGTGTATAAAAGATGGAAAGTTGTACAACTCAAATAATTCTCACATATCTAAAGCTTCTAGAATATTACAGTTAAGCTAGTTTTAGATTTCAAAGAATTTTTATGATTTAATCACAAGAATTTTCTAAATGGTGCTTTTTATTCATATGGGGTTTGATATTAAAAGATAACTGTGAGATGTAATATGATTTTTGTTTTAATCATACTTCAGAAGGTTGATTTGCTAAATTCTCTTTTGTATTTAAGTATAAATGCTGTTAAATATGTGCAGCTTCTTTAGTTTTATTTCTACCTTCTCTGCAAGCTAAATCTTACCATGAATGCACGTTTAAGATGTTTAGAAAAAGAGACTATTTCCTGAACAATAAGCATTTATGTAGAAGTTAAATGACTATTTTAACCTCCTTTATCCCTTTTCCCCTTCCATGAAATTTGATTAATAATATATGGAGTTTCTCAGTTACATAAAGATGCATTGTGTGATTTTTTTACAGGGTCTGTATCTTTTTCTGGCAATTGGTTACAGCCTTCTTAGCCCTCTGGTGTCAGGTTCTGGTAAAGCTATTAGATTTCATCCATTACTAGTGTCACTGACTTTGATGGAAGCTCTTTTGAATAGAAACAAAAGTGAAGTAACCTTTGACACTCAAACACCTTGGGGTGAGATCATCATGCTTCTTCTTGTCTTTGGTATATTGGTCATCTTCTTTTTCACCTTCTCTTTGGTAAGTACTTTTGGCAATATTATCGTAACACAAACTGAGTCTGTATCTATGTTACATGCAAAATTCTTTAAGTACTCCTTTAAAATTCTATTCCAGAACTCAATTTTTTTTCACTTATGATAAACCTAGAACTATTAATTTGTTATGACTTTAAAAAAAGTTTTAATAAATCATTCTGTTCATTTTTCTAAGATCACTTTTCTCCAACAATCGTTGCATTTCATCTTATCTTTTATGTACATACTAATCTACAAACCCGACTTTTTTCAATTCACAGGAAAAGATAGCTTGATATAACCTTACTGTTGCTAATAGCCTTTTTCATGAAAAGCAATTTTTTATTAAATTAATGAAAAAACAATCATTTATTCATTGTAATTACTAGCTATAGAACTAAGTTTCATATTTTTCTTGGTGGTAGGAAAAACATGTTTACTAATTATACCAATGTTAGTATTTAAAAGTTTCGTAGTTATCATGATGTTTATGCTAGTGGCAAACAAACCAATTTATGTCAAGTATTCAAATTAATTTTGTTGGCAGAAGGTAGAGGTGCATTAATGAAAATACGTTTGTAATTGCAAATTAATATTTTAACAGAAATTTCAAATTGTGTAAAATAAATATGCTTTAAAGTTGATATGAACATACTTTAATGATATTAATATCAGATATTTTAGTTACTACTGTTTTTTTTTTTTAGATAAGAGTTATTCTAATTGCTGCTAAAAGAACTACAAAAACATGTGAAGGAGCACAACTGACCATGTCGGAGGTGCCTCAGCTTTTCAAAAACTTAATGTGGTCTTTACTTGGTTTCTCAAAATCAGAATCTGAAGTTCAGAAGGAAATTGAACAGCCATCTGTTCCTACGGTATGTAATTTATGTTTGATATGATTTTCTGAAACTTAGTGATTTTCTTCCTGCTTATTTTAACAAATTAATATATTTTAAAATACTGGTGTATTAACTATCGCCCTCTTCCTTTTTTTTTATTATTACAATAACTATATTGTCAACTAACATTTAAAACATTGTATAATTGTGAAACACAGACAAATATGAATTTTTTTAGACTAAGTTAAAATAAATACTCTTATGCAGAAACAGTGTAACTAAAATGGGTCCTATATGTTCAATCAATATGACATACATCCTTATTCCATTACTTGCTGTGCTAATGTATTATTTTCATATTTTGGAATAATTATCCAAATAAATATTAAAATTAAAAAACAAACAAAAATCAGAATAATCAAGATATATGTTCTTTAACTAACATGTAACAATATAATCCTTCAGCTTTCATGCTGCTCAAGTCACAAAGTACATTACTCTACTATATTATGTGTTAAATCCCTAAGTTCCTAAAATTTTGACTATTGCTATATTGTAAAATGTTCTATCTATCTAAACTTGTATTGTTTAACTATTTCAGCACTTTAAAATATTACTTTCTTTGAAAAAAATCGGTGTTGCTTATTTTAAGTGTTACTATAAACTTGTTTAGAGCAGATGTCACTAATCATTTTTATATGTATGAATGGTTATAGAACAAATTAAACTATAAAGCTTTAGTTTTTTTATCCCTCTATGTTGTAAGCTTGCAGTTGGTAGTATCCTTTTTTATATCTAAAAGTATGCAAAGGTTTCTTAAATTAAAGAATTAAACAGCTTCAATTTTGTAGTGTAATTTCAGATTTATATATAAATTGTGTTTAACAAATAAGTTACTATTAAATTATGATTTACATACCACTAAACTATGTCACCAAATGTATTATTATTATATCTTGCAAGACTAATTTTAAATGGATGTTGTTTTTTGTTATGGTTGATTAAGTGTATTTGATGATAAGAGTATCAAGAATATTTTTCCACACTGATATGTTTATGTATGTTATTTTTATTTTCAATACATGTTTCTGGTTGTAAGTTCCATAAGAGATATAAAATATGTTTAATCATTGTCATTGAAGGTGATTTTATATTTCATATATTTTTTGGTTTGCTAGTAACTACTTCAAAAGTTTCATATAAAATTTCAGCATTGAGATTAGGTAGTCACCATATTGTATACAGATAATTTTTTTCACTATACATAAGTTATAAGTCCTTAATTTTTGATGATTAATAAGCATAAAGCTAGAAAATATACAAATACTACTAAAGTTCAATTTTATCAGAATGTTTCAAATAAATTTTCATGGTTGAGAGTACACCATACAGTTCATCTATTTAGGAGCAATGTTTTAACTTGGTTATTGCAAATGTAACTTAAGCTTTGCATGCAATGAAGGTCAAATGAGATAGATTTACTAAATCAAAACGTTTGTGGTCATTTTCCATTAAGAGCTTTCTTCTCATTACTAATTTAAAGCTGAGGTTAATAACCTTTAAACTAATTTATAAATGTGTATTTTTAGGAATTTCTTCTTTTTGAATTGGAGGGACTTGTTGATAACCTTTTAGAAAGAGCAAATAAATTGTATTATGATCATGAAGATTTTCTTGACTTTGCTCTAGAGGAGGATCAAATCATGGTATATATTTTTTTTCTTATGTCAAACAGGTATACTTGATAGGTTAACAATATATATATATATGACAATGCTGAGCCCTAACAAATTATTTACTAAAGTTTAAGAATATATCTTAATTTATTGCTTACTAATAAGCATAACTGACTCCTGCAGGGTTCTTTTTCCTGAAGATTAACATGACTATTATAATTAGTTAAGGTTAGGACAACATTTGTGTAAGTTTTTTGCAGATGTATTAAAGAAGTAAAAGCCAACATTTAATAGTGCACAATAAAATATTTAAAATGAGACTGTCCCCAGTCTCCAAAATACAGTAAAAAATTGTTTTGTGTAATTTAAAATTTACAAATTAGAAATTTAAAATACAGAATAAATGAATACTAGAGAAATGTTAGAAATAAGAATACAAAGAACAGTATTCTAAACTATGGTATCAGTTTATTCCTAATTTCAGTAAGCTTTTTAAATCTAAATATAAAACCTGTAATATCAGTTTTAATGCCAATGTTTAATAGTACACAATAAATATTTAAAATAAGACTGTCCCCAGTCTCAAAATACAATAAAATAATTGTTATACTTAATAATTTTCAGTATGAAGATAAAATAATGTGAGACTGGCAACAGTCTTATACACATTACATGTTTTGATGTCTTTCTGCATCATAATCAGAAGTGCAATATTTTGCAAGAGTTAATATCTATATATACAGTTTCAAAAATTGCACAATTAAATTTACATACAATTTAACTTAAGAATTTCATGCCATCTATTTCCTCCTGGTCCTTCATTCTTATTGGATACTTTAAAATTATCTTTATTAAATTTCATGATCTCAATAGATACACAGATATTATTAGCAATGATGCTTGCAAGTTGTGCTAAAATAATCTTTTTTATCCCATTGAATCAAATTTCATTAGTATGTTCAGCTAAAGGTGAAACAACAACAACAAAAAAATATTACAGGTTTTGTTTTAAAATAGCCACCAAAATCAGTTTTATTGTTTTTAAAGAAGATCCATTAAAATTAGGCTTAGACTATTAAAATCAAAGATAATTTTTTATATGACAGGTTTATTGTTATAGATTTAAGTTTATTTAACAAGGAGCTAAACTTGATGTAGTATTTTAAGACATGCTATATTTTTTTAAGAATACTGGTACTAAGTATATTCAATAGCATAGTTGTGCTTTTAATATTAAATAAGATAATTTTTATTTAAAATAATCTCCTTCAATAAGGAATGTAAAAGGTAAAGTACTTTTCTAGGTTTTGTTATTCTGTAATTCTTTTTGATATGTACTTAAATTGCATTTGTAATTATGTTTATAATTTCATCAAGACCTAAGCTTCAGAGTTAATATTCCTAAACAATTATCTACACATGCTTTAAAACTATCTTTATTAACACACAAGAAAATTATAAAGGTAAACTGGTTATATCAATTATAGAATATTTTATATTCAGGAGCCAAAAAATGATACCAGTGAAGAGATGGAGAAGTTAACACATAGTAATATTGATTGCAGGTGAGCATATTTTTCTTTGGGTGTATTTTATTTAAACAAATAAAAATCGGGTCTATATAAGGAAAAAAATTAACTTTTAATAACTGATTTGATAGTATGCATAGCAGTCAAAGTGCATTTTAACTAACTAGGTTAGATACGTTTTATTCACATATTTTCAAAACAAACACTATAAGACCAAAACACGCTCACTGAAACACCAAATGAATGACTGCTGCGAACATACAATTCTTATACTTTTCCATGTTGATTCCCTCACCTCCATTCATTTGGCTGTAGTTTCAGATTGTGTACTACTTATATATAATTATTTTGGGTTCCCCAGTTTTAATCCAGTAAATACCTATTTCATAATAAAATTACTTACAAAAAGATTTTACATAATGCTCATTAAGATAAAAAAAAAAAATAACTGGTGATAACTGACCAAAGGTCACAACATCACACATGAACAGACATTAATGTACTTGTTAGGTAACATATTCCTTAATTTCTCTTGCAGAGTGTAATGATACAGATTTAGATTTTTACACATAGCTTTGAATGTTAAAATATTGCGTATTCACTCTCCTTTATGAAAGCTAAGCAAGGTCAAGGTTTAAAACTGTAGAAATGACTTTAATCTTAAAACCATATTTCTAATGTACTTTAATAGCTATTTAGATACCATAAGTGAATATCAATAGTAGTATACCACAACTGCCCCCAAATGGTACCCCTGTGCCTCACTTTATATCACAATTGTGTAATACATTAAAGTCAATCTCTGTAATGTTATTAAAATAAAAAGAATGACTGTACTAATAAATTTAAAGATATTGGAGGAAGGGGTTCTACCTAAAAAATATTTTATTGTTTGTCATATAAAATCGTAATAATAAAACATCTAAACTTTTTATCTAAATTCCTTTCAGTGAGCCTAAACATTTCAACTTAGCACAAGGACAGCAGAAAAAATGGGCTGATGATGACAGCATTTCATCTTATGAACCTATGAGCTCTTCTGCTAGTACAGGCTCCCAGATAGTAACTGTACACCACCGCCTTCCTCCAAATAAACATGGAAAACCACAAATTAAAGTATATCCAGCAGTTCCCAAAGCAGGAAGGAAGTCAAATCAATTAACTGTAGAAACAAGAAACAAATCAGTTCTTTCTCATCAAGGGTCCAAAATGTCTTTTGCAAGTCACCAGTCAAGAGTTCGAAAAACAAAAACGTTTCAGTTTCAAGGTTCTACTTCTTCCTTAGACTCGAACTCACTTCAGCAAACATCAAACAAGGAGGGTTTCATGGTACGCAAAACAAAATCACGTGGAAAAGGAAAGAACAAAGACCTTATTCTGGACTCTGCTTTCCTGGAGAATTTTAGTCCAAACGAAGCTGAGAAGGAGGAACAAAAACTTTCTAAACATTGATTACAAATTTAAATAATTTCAACTTTAATGCTATGAATAACTAATTTGGTACAAAGAAGTGTTAAGGAAATTATACTTGAAGTGACCCATGTATTTTGATTTGATTCAATAATTTGCAAATACATGGAATAGTTTACAAACTAAAACAAATAGATATCAACTCTAAACATCCACTTTTTGAGATACATTTTAATTTGAGATGCTTCATATTAAAGTATAAAAAAAATTAAATTTTACATCAGTAGTTTTTAGAATCGCCATTTTTCCAAGATTTGGTGTAAAACACAGGAAACTCAAATTATATCTGCATTCACCAAATGCACAATGTTCCTTTACATACACATCTTTTTTAATAGGTGGGATTTCCAAGTTAAGTATTATATATTTGTGGTTTTAGTTTCAAGCCTGAAACTACACTTTGAGTTTGGCAGCTTCAACTAAGAGACCAAATGAGTCAGACCAATAGGGTAGAGTGCAATTTATAAACTAAGTGAACTGTGCCAAATATATTTTTATAGCATTTAAGTGTTCTTTATTATAGTGTAAATCGTGTATTAGTTTATGTGAGATCATTTTGTATTGGGTGAAACTTTAACTCCTTTTTTCTACTTTGTTATATGAATAGATTAGTTGCAAGATCATACCAAAGATATTTTTGTAGCATATCTTAAACATTTATTATATTTTGTCAAAACAGTATTGTTGTTTTTTTAATAAAGTTTTGATCAAATCGATTTTTTCTTCGTTTTTAGAATTGTTTGCTACAGTATACTAATGCTGTACAGAGATTGATTATGTTAACAACCTTTTTATTAACACACCTGACAAAACCGAGTTTGAAACACTGAAGGTTAAAACAGTTTCATTAAAACCAATGATTAAAAAAAACCTGTCCTACATTTCAACTAAGTATCTTCTACGGTGGCTACTCCTGTGTTATGGATCATTGTGATCAATTACATTTATGGTAATAACATGTGAAATTCTTTTAGTACGGTTGTTGTTGTTTTTTTTATTATTATTAATGCACGTACTGAATGTTCTTCCTGTTTCACCATAATAGATTTTGACATACCTCACAGGCAATTTTATACATACTGTTGATAGTGTTTTTTTTAGTTTGTAAGATATCATTCAGTGGACTAAGACATGACTTAAAGTTATGCAAGATCAGTAAATAGCTTTAACATTAATTGTATTTAAGTTTTTTAATCTGTTCAGATAATCCTTTAATATTAGGTTTGGTTGTTTTAGGGTAAAGTCACATTGGGCTATCTGTCGTGTCCACCATGGTGACCTTAGTTTTGCAAAACCATGGGCTTATTGCTGTCCCTTGGAGGAACTAAATATAAAGAATCACTGTAGTTGTGATATGTTTTAAAATCTAATTTTTCTTGGAGTACACATTATCTTTAAAGACATTTTATGATATGCTGGTTTTCCTTAACACAATCTGATTCATTTGAACAAACATTTAGAGATCTGTTTTAATAGCAGACAAATCTGATCTGGTGAAAGTGGCATCCAATGAATTAATGTCTCATCTCTCTATGATCTGGTTTTCACAACTTCTAAGCAAAGTTTGGGATGTATAGATGTGAAATATAGGCTGAAATTATCAAGTGATATCACTTCATTTCAATTAAAGGATATTGTTTAAAGATAATTTACAAATTCAAAATGGTTTGTTATTTAGTACTCACTATTAGCAATTAAGGGGTGTAATAAATCTGCCAGGTGCTTAGAAAGATTGTACGTAGGTGAACTGATGATTGGTCATTATGGGATGTTCTTTTTATGGACTTTTAAAATACCAAATAAGTGTTGGGGGGAGGGATGAAGCCATTTGTTCATCACAAATAGAGATTGTCTGAAAGATTGTCTTTCAAGTCTAATAATGCACTATTCAATTGAGTACAATATAATAAAATGATTTTGGAGCCAGTCATGCTCTACCTGATTACTGTGAATCTTAACAATAGCCCTGCAGTATTGTTTGCATTGTAAGACTCCTTTATAAGGCTGTAAAGTCCAAAGGGCAGCACTCCTCCTTGCAGGCTTTCCATAATTCATCTTGTGTATGAAAATGATAGTTTTCCATCCTCCATTTCAACAGTTTGACTGTACGGAAATCTATAGGTGCTAAGTCCCCTAATTTGACCAGTGTGTCTTCATGTGGAATAGCATGAATACTCATTTCATTCTCTAGCCAATTGAAGTATGTAGCAGTTAAACAGATAAGTCTTGGAAACAATTTGTGTACACTGCTTTTTCAGATGAAGATACTACTTTATAATGTTGCATAGTACTGCCTGGATCTTGTGGTCAGCCTTTGCCACTGATCTTTGTGTTTATAAATTATCACCTGTTACAAGAAGCTGCACTTTGCTTACCATGGCTGAGCTATGATGTATTGCAAGGTATCTTTTTGGATGATCCTGGTGCCCCAAATTGGTCCATGTTTATTTTCATTGTCATTAATTACATGGGATATACTCATGTGTTCAGATCAAGGATTTATAATTTGAATCAAAAAGCTTTATTATATACCTTTCACAAAAGTGATCAATTTTTGGCTGACAATGTCAAAATGTAGTTTTCGTATATGCGATTCCATCATGACTTTATATCAGTTATGGTTGTCACAACTTGCATATCTGAAATAGTTTTAATATAATATACTTAACCCTCCGTATATTGTGTTTAACTGTAAAAACAAAATTAAAGCATACTTGAAAAGCGAGTTAATATTAAATCCAATTTGTAATAATAGGAACGCTACAATAAAATGATACAATCAAAAATTTATAAACAGGTTCATTTATCAAATACTGTTCTGTATTACCTTGAATACATTTCTTTTATAATGGTTGAATTCATTTAACCACCACTTCATACAAACATTTTGTACAAGTGCTGAAAATAATGATAGTAAAAATGTACTTTGTAGCGAGAAGTAGAAACAGTTTTCACAGAAACATTACTGCTAACCAAAACCTAAATTTTTCATTAAAATTTCAAAATAGCAGTAAATCAAGAGCCTTTTGATTGTTTGTTAAAGTATTCTACTTGCATCCATGTAAACTCTGTAGACTTGGGTTATATACAAGTTATCTAAGTAAATAATAGTACAGACATTTTCCATGCAAGTACTCCAAAAACAGGAAAAGTACATTACTGCATATGTAATTAAAAATATCTTTCTTTGCTGACAACTATGGGTATGTCAATGCTAATGAAAACATTTCTCGATTATACATTTAATAATATATAACTACAAGCCAGATATGTTAACAGTTTACAATTTGATAGAAAATGTTTTGTACAAAACAGCTTCGTAGATTTTAAAGCTCCCTTGCTATTAAAAGTATTTACAAACTTTTGCTTATAAAAACATCATTCCTAGAAAAAGCAGTCTAGCATCAAAGTTATTAAGAGTAATTTTAATATCTTTTATTGTTACAAAGAGCGAGGCTAAAGTCAGAACATGTTTCATATTTTAATATTATAATCAGTCTTTCTGAATTTAACCCTATCACCAACTGCAATTGCCTATCAGTAATCAATGTTTCTATAATTAATAAAAAATAATTTTAAAGGCCAACCACATGTACTTAATAAGTTATGAAATTTTTATAAGAAAAAAAAATAATATTTTTAACTCCGTAAGAATGACAAAGATAGTACAGTCCATCTTTCTGAAATATTAACTGGATTATACAGTTAATATCCTAAAACAGGTATATGACACAACTGTATTGTGTAATCTGCCATTTATTCAGTTAGCTTCACTATAGCTAAAAAATTTGTTTGTTTGTATATTTCAAAGCAAATCCACATTGGGCTATCTGCTGTGTCCACTGCAAGGAATTGAACCCTGGATGTTAGCATTGTAAGTCCTTAGACAACTCAAAAATAGTAATTGTAGTATATATATACCCATTAATATATAAGGAATAAATATTCTTGTTTAATATTCCTATCACATTAACTACAGCATTATTACTTTAAAATCTAACTGTAAAATTTTAGTAATATCTAAAAATATAACAGTAATTTACATTACAAGTATAAATATGTGTGTGTGTGTGTGCATATATATAGTTCTATTTAATATCTTTTTGTAATGGTGGAGATAGAAATATTAGTGTGGCTTCATTTCTACTTTAAGAAATTTAAGGGTAACTGGCTATAGGCAGTAGAAGCTGAGACGTTGTGGATGTAAACACTCAGCTTCATACCCCTTATTTGATTTTTTACGATTTTCCATGACAGCTGACTAGATTGACACTGGCATTTGGATTTCGTCTTATAGATGGGATATCCCCAAAGCATATGGGTGGTATTACCACGGACATTCCCCATTATGACAATAAGTTGACAACTTGAACCGAAAGAGGTAATGCAATATATATATATGTATACATACACACACACATGCATGCACAATAAACAAAATTTGTGAATGCTGACATTTTTATATTCAAAGCTACTGCATTTGATGTAAACAAAACAATATTGGTAGATTAAGTCCTAAGATTATTCAAATAAAATCATTAATTCAAGTTCCTATAATTTCAAAGTGCCAATTCTATAAATCTGGTGGAAAAGAAACGTAGCGATACACTGCGGAAAAGTAAAGCTCAAATGGCACAATGTAAACCAGAACAAAAAAAAAATGCTTTAGTTGTTCTTTTTAAAAGCATACCATAGTAGATTAATAATAATATGGGTTATTAGCTGTAGCAATAATTGATATACCACTAGGACCTAACATTTCAATACAATTCCAAACATGTTTTTAATTATTTTAACCCTGCATTATTATTCTGTAACTATTTTCATAGTCACTCTTCTGGGGTTCCAGCAGACACCATCATCAAAAATTATTTTAAAAATATTTAAATAATAATAAACTATTATTTTGGAAATGATACAAGTTTTTGAAATTGTATTATAGATTTACTGTTTTTAACCCTGCTTTAGCCTTCTGGGGTCTTCACAGACCCCAAATATTTTATAAACATTGGCACCGAAAGATGGAAGCATGTACATGTTTGTTGTTCTTAGTATCTTCGGTATACATCAAGTTTGTGTTAAGTTGTTACACTTAGTTTAGGTGGTAAATAGAAACACGTTGTAATATTCAATACTAGAAACAAACGACCGTATAAAACCAAAATGTTGTATTTATTTTATTAAACACTCAACGTTTTGCTTTATAGCTTCAGGAGTGTTCAATAAACACAAATCAAAACAGACAGTACAAAGGTTCAAAAGTGTTATAAGGTCTTGTATTTCTAATATTTATGTCTTCTATACACCAATATGCACTACAGAAATTAAATAATGTAATATTCAGTATTTATTGATTATTAAGGGAAAAGATTTTGATTGTTAGTGTTTTCCATATAAGATATTTTGTGTGATTACAGTAACTTGTAGGTTTGCATGGTGAGAGTAAGCTGAAAATTGAATGACATAGAATGTCCGTCAAAAATAAGAAATCACGATACAAAATTATAAGTTTATATCTCGTGGATTTCAACACGTTTCTTCCAATAACTAGCCAATATTTAATTGACAGTTAAAAATTTTCTCTCTGTAAATGATAAGTGCTGAATATATTTTCAGGTTACATTGATTTAATTTCCTTCAAACCAAACTTGTTACATATAGTATTCATACATGTATGCCTACTCTATAAATCTACCATTTGACTGGGTGCGATAATAAGTTTTTATCCGAAGCATTAAAGCAAATTATAAACATAAGCCAAATCTCCAAATAAAATATGTTCAAGCATGCCTAATAAATGTCCTAAAAGAAAGCTTTGGTTATTTATATTATTTCCCCTTTTCATGAAACAAATTCTAACTTTTTCTATTATAAAGAATTAGGTAAACTTATGTTAAAAACCACAACTGTGTAACAATGATTAAAATATTACACAGATAGTCTGGTTACAACTCTTCTCAACTTAAATATCATATATTAAAAATAATTAGTTCACAGACCATGCTTCAAACATTATCATATAAACTTTTAATTACTAGACTGCTAAATAGATAAATATGTATTAGAGATTAACATTCACTTAAAAGCCAAATATCCGAGTAACTGGCTCAGCAAGAATAATCATCTCTATCATGACATAGATGGGAACATAGGTAGCTTATCTCTTGCACTATGGAGGTTGTAAGAAAAGCACGTTGCATCTGGTCAGTAATGACTAATTATAAAGTGAGCTGAAAAACATTCGAGAAGGGTTCCAAAGGACAAGAGGTAGAAAGTTTGCAAAAGGTTTGTCGTGTAATGAGTAAACCAGACTTCTTTTAATTAGTGAGGGCCCTGTATGGATGACGTATAAAAGCTGGTAATACATTTAGTTAAGACCCTGTAGGGACAGTGTATAAAAATGAAGGGATTTTATTTATTCCTCTCTTTTTTTTTGTTTAAAAAAAAATTTTCCCCCGAGCTTCTTCAAGTCTCAGAAACTTATGTGTCCATAAAATAATGTGTGTGTGTACTTTATTTATTATAATCTCAGCAAATCAAGAAGGTATGAAGTACAAATTTCATTTATTCCTTGTACTTTTTTATAGTTTGTGTTTGAAATTGCTTGGAAACTGCAGAAGGCTATTTTTAAAGTTAGAAAATTCTGAAATGGAGATGTCAGATGCATCACCTCACCTTTCTTTTAATAAGTGAAAACTTAACAAATATAAAACTGAATTATAAACTGTTTCATGCTATATTTATTGACATACATTGACAATAAAGTTGTTTATTTAAATTATGAATGTTAGCATTATAAAAGATTGTGACATACAAAAAATGGTCATTCCCCATACACATAGGTTTAATGTATTATAGATAATTTGGTCATGTCTTGTGGACGTAAACATTTTTGGTTTAGAATTGCAGAGAATATTATATATGGGCATCACAAAGTATGAATCAGGTAATTTTAAATTTATTTAGTTTTAACATCATCAAATATATGTGCTGACAAAGTGGTTGAAATCTGTCACATTTTAGCTCTTTCAAGTGTCAACACCATTAAGGATTTTGCATTGATGAAGTGCACAAAGAATGACCGTTTCTTGATATTAAAGTACTACAGTGCACTTCATAATGATTACAGGCATTGGAGATGCCCTATATTTTCATTGGTTATCTTCTCTATGTCCTATACATGCAATACATCTAATAGATGAAATTTTCCAGAAGAAACATCTTGTAAATGGGGTAGTTCTTTGTACAGATGCTGCTCAAACTTTGTTTATGCTCGTTATTAAATCTTTTCTTCCAGGTAGTAGATCTATTACATTTATCTATTTTTGTGATTCATCATAAATGTGCATGTTGTAAGCTAGTTACATATTGTAGGCAGGTGCTTTTCATGCTACTGATCCTGGAATTATGTATGATTACGGTGTCTGTTTTGTAATGTATGTGCTGCTTCTGCTGCCTTTTTCCTCAGACTATTAAACTGATAGTTCTTGTACTTAGATGCTTCATCATACCAAGAACCAGTACTAACTTTTCTCTCTAACCCGTTGCTAAAAACTAATCAAAATGAGATATAAAATTGGTGACTGATGTCGAAAGGAGAGACTGATAAATAAGTTTACTACATGTGATGTATAAAGTACTTTTTCCAGTGGAGACCAAGGTCCGGCCAAAGTTGAACAGCCTGTTGTAACATTTGGTTAGTGAAAGATACAACTAGGTTGACTAGGGCAAAAAGAACAGATAGCATTTAATGTTGACAGCAGTGGGGAATACTATTTCTTGTAGAAATCTCATTCAAATAATGTTTATAATGTTGAAGGTATCTGGGCAGTCATGTTTGCTCATTTCTGCCAAGTCTTGGACTTTAGTTAGTTCACAATAGAGCTTCCTTATCATTACCTATAGACTGGGACCATTGTTCCAGAAATGACTTCTATATGATATCAATGGTTTGTAGAGTGTTGGTGTGGATGAAGTAACTAATGTACAAGTGCAATATGATATTTATTTGACATACTGGTCAGACAAGTGCCACAAAGTTATTACTCACTTTTATGCTGCAGCTTTCCTGAATGACCACACTCTTTGATGCCATAATAATGTTTCTTGCAACTTCATGGTGCCATCTGAAGATGGCCCAAATGTCAACAAGGCACTCCATCAGAAACTAGATAAATCAGTTAAAGAAACGGGGTTTCCAGGTCTGCTTGCAATCTTCAAGTCATGCGTAATTCCATCCAAGCTGGTCTCGATGCATCAAATGGAATGTTGAAAACATAGTTATATAACTTGGTTCAACTTATCTTTTGCAAACAGTACCTGTTTCTTCATCACACTCCATGCAGATGGCTGTAGTTATGTACTGTTGTAGAAAGATTTCTGGAACAATACATTGGACTCAAAGTGTATTTCCTAGTATACCTACTCAGAAAATCTTAAGTTATTGATAATAACAATTATCATGCCAAGAGCAAGATGCTGCTTAAATATCCAAGTTTTATTGCCAAACTACAGTTCATACATTGCATTTGGCCAGACTTTGAGAGGTTACACAAACTTTCAGTCAGTTGGTCTATGATTCCAAACCTTTATACATAGTTGTAATATTACTATCAGTATGTCAGTGAAGTATCATTTGGGGCACTTCTGCCTACTTTTTTTATGCATTACAAAATAACTGGAGAAGGGCATAATTCAAATTAATGTCACACTAGAAATGTTACTAAAGCATCATAAAACTGTCCTATATTTTTCATGTGTCCCCCTATATTTTTCTGAGATCCCAATGCCAAGAATTACAAACACCACCAACAAATCTAAGCTAAATGAATGTTGAAACCTGTTTTCAAAAGGATGAATTTTTTTTATACTTAAACATAGTATTCCCAAGAGTAAGCACTAATATCTTTCACAAGTCTTCCAGTGCAAAGTAACATGTGAAATCCACCATTAGGTGACTATCCAATAAGCTACAATACTAAACAAAAAATACCCAAGAACACAAATATAGCTTATTTTCTATCTGACCAATGCAATGATGCAATCGAGACTGACAACCTCACTAGAGTAAGAAGAGAAGAGGATAATGTGTGATTAAGAATTTGTGTCTTTTGAGTGACAGTCTTAAAAATGTAAGTTTTAAAAAGTAAGGACATTAGAAGACACTTCAAAGGAAATGACAGAATACTTTTAAGTGATTAGGTTTTTATCTATTAAAATGTGATACTTAGAAGTATCTGTTGTAAGTCCTTTTTTAAGGCATACCAACCCAAAAGTAATATGTGGATGAAATATGCAACGTGAAACCAAGGATGGGTATTTCTGCTAATTAAAAAAACTTCATCTGAATGTAATGATAGGTAAAATAAAAACTGGAAATGTCAAAACATGTCAGGCATCATTTATACTCAAACACATTAGTGTGAGTCAAACATCATGTTGATGTAAAAGCAGACTGTGTATGTTAAGAGAATTAACAATAAGACAACTTTCTTTTTTTACTAATGTAGTATTTCTTCATAGCACAGTAATATTACAGTTAAGTGAGTAAACTGATATGACCCATTTGATCAAAATTATATTCCTGACACAGGCATAAAAGCCAAAAAGTAACAAGAAAAATTCCAATGTTGTTAGAACGTCAGACGATGAATGGATTTATGATCTTGAAATGGTTTCAGATTGTGAAGGTTGTCCCACCAGTTGAAGAGGAAATTCTTGGCTATCAAAGAAAACCATGGAGTTATCTGGTTCCCAGACGTATCCAGATTGTCTGCAATGAAAAAAAATGTTAAGGATATAACATTGTCTCAGCAAAGTTACTTTTTTTTTAAGAACAAATTAAAAGTAATGCATATTACAATACAACCTTTAACTTATATATCTTCATGTGACTATCTCTGCAAAGGTACATAAGAAAACAATAACAAACAAATTCCTGAATTTATCACATGTAGTTGCTTTCATTACAGATGAAAAACCAAGTTATATACATATATTTTAATTTCATTAAAAATTATAATGATGTGCTATTTCAAAGATTAATCAAACACACAGTTACATTATTTTGAAAATAATGAGAGATGCATGAATCTAGTGTATGAAAGGACAGGTGTAGTGATTTGTAGGTAAAGAGACAAGATTCAGTTCAAAAACAACACTTTATTAACTTAAAGCAAGCAAGAGATGAATAAATAACTGGTTGTGCCAGTGAAGAACTACTTTGTTGAGATAAAACTATTTTAAAATTAAAGAAAACGGTATTTAATGGAAAAAAATGAAAATAAACTATATGTTGAAGTATTCAAAAATGATTTAGTTGTTTAATTAAAAGAATACACACACACAACCAGCAGACTGCTGCAAAAAATTAAGACAAGATTTTCCATTGTCAATATGTCTGAAGACTGCTTGAGGAACTTAAATTATAGCCCAATATAGGAATCATCAAAAAATGTGGTGGTACGAATCAAATAAATATACTCCAAAACAAAGCTATTACAAGCTCGTCTTCCACATCACTCTTCATTTAATCTGTAATGTTTGTAACAAAAGCTTTTGTGGTTGTTGAAGCTATGAACACAGTCCCAAGAAGACTTATACCGTGTTGGAATTGGCAAGCAGATACATACCTAAACAAATCAATTACTTATTCTAGCAAATCATTTGGTCATAAAAAGTTTGAAACTGTTAAATGCATACATTTTTCTTCTTTCATGGGCATGTGCAAAAGGCAGTACTTAACAATACCTGCTAAGAATCCCTATCAAAACATGAACGAGCAAGGGGTTAATAAACTCATTGGTTAAAACACTAGAATGTTATAGAATAAACAGTGCTATATCTGGGATGACAGTTTGCAATGAGTCACACTCTTAACCCAATGAAAATAAATCATTTATACTATTGAGGGTGAGCACTCATAATTCTAAAGAAAACTTTGAAATAATCTTTGAAATTTATAAAGATATTTAGGAATTATTCTTGTATTTGTTTCTGACGAAGCTTTGGGATGCAAACCATAATATATTGGTATATCAGTAAAACTATGCATTCCTACTAAAATGTGAAGTTGGTATCATATGCAAGCCAATTTTACATCTTAAAATCTCATGCTGAAGAAGCTTTTTAAGATTTTATGCAAAATTTCCAAAGAATGTTAGTCATTTACTCCTTTCTAACCTAGAAAAGTGTTACTTTACAAGTTTTAAATTTTCATATCTTGGCCTAACTTCGAAGCTTTCAATTTCAAAATATTTTAGACGTCCTAAAATTAACAAGCTCATTATCATACCGATATGTTTACGCTTATAAATGCTTGTACATAAATCTTACTACTCTTAGTTTTATTTGCAATAAAACGGACCTTAGGTAGGTCCATAAACACATTTCTCAAAAGAACGGTTTACAATCTAAATGGATTCTTTTATTTAATATTCATTTTGAAAGGTTATCTCTTCTTGCCTCTGAAGATAAATGTATTATATTTCTGATCCTTCCTATACTTTGAAACATGTTCTTAATCTTATTAGCCAAAAAGAAAAACCAATACAACATCACTTGTCTGATTAATGAAACTAGTATCTTCAAGGTGCTAACAAAGCATTAAATGTTTCATGTAAATAATTTAGAATTATTTTGTGTGTGTGTGTGTGTGTGTGTGTTAAACTAAAATTTTATTTCTACCTACAAAATGATTAAAGACTTAATATTTTTTTTATTTAGGTGAAATCAATTTCTTAACTAACAATACGTTTTTCTCATGAATAGTACTGTGCAGCATTATATCATAAAAAGGCCTCAATTTCTCCCTTTCACTCTGTGATATTATACATTTCCTTTTCAACATCTACTGTGTGTTTTAATATACAGTTATTACCTGTTAGAAAATGTTAATATGAACTTAGGAAATTTAATTTTACTATTCATGTTATTTATTATCTTTTAAGTAATCTGTTTTTAAGACTAGTAAATTATCATATAAACATCACTCACTGGTAGATTATCATTTCAAAATTCAAGTATAAGAAACAGAAAAACACATATATTCAACTTCTGTTCAAAAATCTTTTTTTCAGTAATTTGTTTATTTATTCACAGCAGATTTTCTTTAAATAATGCCAATAAAAACCTGTAAGCTTACAATAACATTTATACACAGCTCAAAACAAATAAAGGATCACGGAACTGGTAACATTATAACTGAAAGAAGACAAAAACAACTGTCAAATTATGTAAATTACCCCTTCTCAGTTCTTTATGAAAATAAAATTAATTATCAGTGATGTGATCTGAATGTAAACTATTGGTCAATCAACCTATTCTATAGTGGTCTCATAAAGTCATGTCTCAGTCTTCAACTTTGAGTGAATCACGGAGTTCAAAATACTCCAAATAGTTCATCAGACTAGACCTCAAAGAAGAGACTTGTATGTTTTACTAAAGTGGAGAACCAGTGGACAAATGAAAGTCTGCCAATCATAGAAAGTTGTTGCAAGTGTCTTTAAGTGTTCATAGCAGAATAATGGAACTGCTTTCAAACCAATGATATGGTTGTTTGGACAGCCAGACAAGACAGACCACCATCCACTACACAAACAGGTAATTGTTATATGACAATTCTTGCTCGCTGCAATCATAGGGTGCAGACTCCAAGATTAAATCAGAGGTTTGCAGCCAAAACTGAATGCAATTTTTATAGAAGGTTAGAAACAGACTTCATACAACTAGCCTATACAAAAGATGCATTCTGCTCAAGACAAAGCATAAAACAGCCAATATAAAATGGTGTCAAGAACACATCCAATGGTCCAGCAACATGCAAAGATATGGTTTTACAGAATGGTCAAGATAACAGACCTATATACATTTGGAGAGAACCTGGAACATGATCCACCCATTTTCACACAGATATGCGAGGCATAATGCAATGTTAGAAGTACAGTTTGAACAGAAATAAGTTTGGTTGGAATACAATAATTATACACTATTCATTCTTCTTGAAAAACCCTAAGGGACTGAATAAAGAATGTAGTGTTAAAACATATAACAGGTCTAATAATAATTTCTTATGACAAGTATAATTATAATCATGCTTTGCGAGCTCAGAAAAGGCATTCACACCATAACAATTGTTGTTGCAGTAAATGGCCTATATAAACAGCGTTCCAACTACTACTGTATTTGTTGTATCCCAACTGACCTGATGTGAGTTGTGGTTGATACATCTTTATACACTCTTCTCCTTCTCAAAAAAACTAAGGGACTGAATATAGAATGTAGTGTTGAAAAATATAATAGGCATAATATTGATGTTTTATGACAAATATAATTAATTAGAAATAAGTACTGTTGAACTTATTAACCTCTATATCTTGCAAAATATCACCAGTAATGCCAACATAATAGGGACAACAAACTAACATCTGTTTTGCTACCATATGCTGTTGCAACTGGCCTTGATTTCAGCTTAATGTCCACCCCACTCTTCTCAACTGGTCGAGAAATTACATGATGAAGAAAGATTGAAAGACCAATCATTTGCACATAAATGATCATCAAGTATTTGATTTGCATAAAAATTAACTGGGGGGGGGGGATGAATGATATTCTGGTTTTGCCTGACCATACCTATAACATTACAAATTCTAATGATATTTTAATTATTTTAAGCAGTGTATTACAATGTAAAATAAACTCTGATACTGAATCTCAATTAGATGCGCTCGCATTAAGTTTAGAAAAAAATTAAACATTTCTTACTGCTACCTAAAAGGCTAAGAAACCTTTATATATATATAATGCACAATAGGTCTAACTGGGAAAATCAATAAGAAGTATCCTGTGACCTTTGCAAAATCCTTGCACCACCTGTAAAATACCTTTATTTCATTACAGTCAATAAAATTTCTCTCAAATGAGTGGGGGAGGGGTATTTCAACATTGCAAACAAATACACTTACCTAAGAAATTCTTCATGTCACCTTTTGACAAATAGCAATGGTTTTTCACTTCATTTTTATTGGGTCTCAAATCTACGTCTTTTTGTGTTACCAGAATGTAGTCAACCTCACTTTCACCCCACACTCCATCAGATGTTGCTGTGTACAAAATTCTAGTGAGGTACTGGAAGCTATCCAAGGGAAGCTGTAAAAAGTAATACATGTATTTAATAGGTATTTAACATTAAATGTCCAGCATTAGTTGGTACAATAAACACAGGAAATTAGAAACAATATTTTTACCAAATGAATGTCTATATAATTAAGTACACACATTTTAAAACATCATTTCCTTCTTACATGAAGTTGCTAGTAGATTGATTAATGTTTTGTCCTTACCCACCCTGATTATATCATGTTTCTACACAGACAAAATGACAACTTAAAGGTTGTAAAAATTCTGAATGGTCTCTCCCCTCAAATTACCTAAAAAATAAAAGTATAACTAAAATGTTATTTCATATAGTTGTTTAATGTATATTTTACTTATGTTGTTTTTTTTTTGGAGATAAAGTAATTAACAAAAATTCAAAACTGTTAACCCTAATTTTGCCACTGAATAAGAGCCAGGTTCTTTAAATTACATTTATTAAAAACTGTGTAATGTCAATAAACATCTGCTGGAGATTTAACGATGATCATTCAACATGGTTATGAGACAGTCAGCCTTTACTTTGTTTATGAAAAACTACAATGTATTATACAGTATATGTTAAAATGCTAATCACAGTTACATTCAGTGTGGTAAAAATATTTCTTTTCTTTTTTTCTTTTAAGAACAAATTCTATTCTTTTCAATGTAATTATGAATATAAAAATATATTGTACACAGACACGAGAATAAGTTGAAGCTAAAACTCCTTAAAGGCTGGCCTAGGGTCTGGGGCCTATCTAAAGTCCCAGTGGAGTCCTAGAGCAGATCCTTGATGAGGGTTTACACCACTTAAAGAAAACTATAAGTTAAAAAAATGCTGAAACTGCAATTGTTGTAACTGTTACATTTTAATATTATTCATAATAACTTATTTTCAAATCAGATATATGCTACAAACAAAGGTTTTTCCATTCACATACATATGACACACACACACACACACATGTACAAATAAGTACCTATGTACTTGTTAGGTAGATCTGCACAGAATTAATACCTTTTACATCAATGTTTGTCAATTCATCATTAAAGCTACTGATGCCCAAATGTTCTCATCAGACCACCAATACAGAGATTACATGCCTACATTATGACAAGTACAACTGAACTTTAGACCTAGGTGAGCAATAAACACAAACTTTCAATGGTACTTTTAACATTAGATCTATTATTTAGATAATTAACAAACATTTTTATATAGGTACAGCTTATTTTTTTATATAAAATAATAAATAGCACAATGGATAAGCACTTTAAATAAACTTGATTAATTTGATAAACCAGATAAAAACTGAATGGTTGCTCATGGGACTCTTGGTCTTTAATTTGTGTATAGATCACACACACAGTGAGTCGAAACTCTCCATTTTCCCTATTGCTGTGATGTAGGAGTGAAATGTCAAAAACCTTCTAACACAGGCAAAATGGGGCTAGTTGTTACCCGAGGATGTCATGATATAAAGGTCAAATTAAGGTTATCCAAGTACTATAACATTTGTATTGGCACATTTTACATAAGACTGAGAGTTTAAGAGATAGCAACTGATTAGCCCAACATGTCCGATAATAAATGGCCCCATAATAACGTTTACATGTCATGATATAAAGGATGTCATGATATAAAGGTCAAATTAAGGTTATCCAAGTACTATAACATTTGTATTGGCACATTTTACATAAGACTGAGAGTTTAAGAGATAGCAACTGATTAGCCCAACATGTCCGATAATAAATGGCCCCATAATAACGTTTACATGTTTTCAACTAATATCAAGGCATTTAGTCAACATCTTGGTTTCCCAGAGCTAATATTATCATTTTAAAATTGCACCTATAAATTGGGTACTGACAGTAGTGTAACTAATTGTATCTAAAACTAAGATGTTTGAATGCCATAATTCATATTGTACCACAACAGCAGAACATTATCAATTAAGGAATAATTCTAGATTCAACCAAGAGTGACTAAATAAAAGCTAGTAAATTTCAAAAAGGATCTACAGAGAGACAAGTCATAGTAGGTATTGTTTCATCACATGATTATTGAAAAGTACACCCAAAATTAAACGAAAATATGATGATCAATAGAAGCATTACTTACAATACACAAATGACCAATATTATTAAGGAACTATAAAATATCAAAAGAGTGAAACTGGGATTTACAACAACAAAGAAGTAACAACTCAAGTTATTTGTTATGAACAAATGTACTGCTAACATTCAGAAAGTTAACACACTTGTTAAAAAACACCAGACAAGATCTTAATTAAACTTGCTTGTGATGGATGAATACCCAATTCAATCTCCATACGTCTCTGGGCAGCTTTCTTAACACCTAAAGCCTCATGCTCCTCCAGCTCAGGTGAGATGTAAAGAGGATGACTACAACATGTGTTTGTATACATCCCTAGAGAATCAGTACAATCAAATTAGTATGTCCGACATGAGTTTTAAAGCAACTACAACAGTATTAAGGGTTGTTTTCAACATCATGTACAACTTAATTTGCATCTCACCAGAAAAGTCAGCTACATTTTTTTTTTCATTTAACACTTTCACTCATATTCTGGTCCTCTTAAAAAAGGAAAAGATTTGGCAAACCAGTGGAAAATATTCATGGAACAGTATCTCTGTTACGTTATATGTTATGATCAAAATGGATTGAATCATTTCCACTATTAATATTACTATGAGTGTCTATTTTATTTCACAATACCACTCAAATATCTTGAAGTTTCAATAAGCTGTATAAAACATTTTCGATTAAGCTTTGTGAAAGACTCCTATACACGTTAAGCATGTAACTAATTTATAGTGGGCAGTTTATCACTTATAACACGAAGCCAGTAAGTTTCAGCTCAAAAAGTGGTGAATATTTGGATCTGACAGACACGAACCACTGTATCTACATTTAACTACATAGTTGTTTTTAATTCATAATATGAATATACCAATCTATCAATAGAATTTATTTCAATCATTAAAAATTTCCTTCTCTGAAACCTAAGTTACAAATTTTAGTTCTATTATTTCTATGTTCTTACTTTATGTTTACTATAGTGTTTATTTATGTATGCACCTCGATAGTAAGGTATCTCTTTTAAAAATATGCCAATTATTAAATTGTATTTATGTATGCACTTAACAGAAACATGCCTCATTTAAATATATGCTAATTATTAACTTGTATTTATGTATGCACTTAACAGTAGCATGCCTCATTTAAATATATGCTAATTATTAACTTGTATTTATGTATGCACTTAACAGTAACATGCCTCATTTAAATATATGCTAATTATTAACTTGTATTTATGTATGCACTTAATAGTAACATGCCTATTTTAAAACATGCCAATTATTAACTTGTATTTATGTACGCACTTAATAGTAACATGCCTCATTTAAAAATATGCCAATTATTAACTTGTATTTATGTATGCGCTTAATAGTAACATGCCTCTTTTAAAACATGCCAATTATTAACTTGTATTTATGTATGCACTTAATAGTAACACGCCAATTATTAACTTGTATTTATGTATGCACTTAATGGTAACATGCCTCTTTTAAAAATATGCCAATTATTAACTTGTATTTATGTATGCACTTAATGGTAACATGCCTCTTTTAAAAACATGCCAATTATTAACTTCGTTCATTTTTCAGTTTGTGCAAACCCTAAACAAGTTGGTACTCTGCATGACTGAAACTCAATTTCTCAAAGACAATTTGATAATTATGAGCACATTTTGTGAAATGTGCTGATTTTTAGAAATTATGTTATAGTATGTGGTGAGTGTAGTGAGGGAGGAAAAATTGCAGATGGTACAATTTTTATGTTCTTATATTCTATTTCTTATTACTGAAATATTATCAAGTCTTGAATACTTAAAATAATTCACAAACCCAGAAAAATTTAGTTGAACATTATTCTTTAAATTACACACTTTAATGTTTGTTAATTTTTAAGTGTGGGAAATTTTGCTAGTAAGATCTTTAAACGCTCAATTTCTTATATCTATCCATTTCCAAAATAGTCAGTGTCAATTATTATTTATGAATTGGTACACATACACCTCTAGTCTTTTATTGTTTATTTGTTTCAGAGTAAAGCCACATTGGACTATCTGCTGCATCCTTTCTCTGCAGGGAATCAAAAAAATCAAAACCCCAGATTTTAGCATTATAAGTTTGTAAACTTACTGCTATCCCACTAGGACTTAGTCTCTTAATTTCTTTCAAAAACAATTCACAAAATATAACATGCCACTGCTTCTTGAAATCTCTCATACAGCTTGATGATTTTTTCAGAGTGAAAATGCTAATCTGTGATAAGGTTCTTTTTTCTTTTTTTATAAGTCATTTTTCGAGCTTTACTCTTAATGACAGACTTTTTAAAGACAGTATAAATATGTATATAAACTTTGAATAACAAGAAAAAAAAGAGGATCTTTCTTCTGTCCAATAAACTTTGAAAAACTGATGTACTGCACAACTTTATTTCATTCAAAACTGTCACATTCTTTTTGATCATGAATAGAACATTAAGTCACTAATTTGCCTAAGCAATAAAAATTTTATTTTATTTTACGATCCAAAATTAAATAATAAAACACAGATGCTGAAACACTTTACCCACCAGGAAATGTTATCTTGAAATCAGATCTTTGTTGCATAAGCAATTCTCCTTTTGTATTAAAAAGGAAGACACTGAAAGCTCGATGGATTAGACCTGAAAAAAAATTTCAACAATGTCAAGATATCATTCACTGATTACATAGTTAAACATGTAGTCCTCAACTTTAACAGCAACTAATCAAACTTGCCTAAGTAGATTGAGATGAAACACAAAAATGACTTTTCCCTTTTAGAACAAATAAAAAAAAAGATTTCTAATTTACTAGGCAGATTACCCATGACAAGTCTGAAAGTGGCATGACAGGCAAAATTTGCACAAATGTTAGGCTTAAGTTACATGTTTTGGAACCCAAAATGTAGAGATTTCTAATTTGTTTTTTTTATAACTCACACATACCTGTGCACTTCTGAACCTGCTTACCAAATGATATGATGAAAATTTTTCATTCCTGCTGTTATCACTTGATAAATTTAGAGATAGAAAATGTATGATAGAAAAATGATAGCCTAATATATTTAAGGATACTGCTATGGAAGGCTGAGCAAAATCCAGAGTCTTCTCTCCAAAGAGGTTGAATAAAGGATCCGAGTTTTTTGGCATACCCAGAATGGGCCAAAAAATAAATATCATAACTAACTTCTATTTTGCATGGCTATTAGCACTGAAAATCTGAAGATCATCAGCCATTAAAAACTGTCAATCAAAATCACTTTTGTTAAATTGCAAAAATAATGGTGTAAGTTTTAATTTACAATAAAGTATTGATAAATGACTCAAAATAATTTTGTTGCCTTACAAAAACAGTCATTTTTTACTTTTGCAAAATGTTTAAAATATCTTAATTATAAACCCATTCACACTTAGTCAAATTATCTGGTGCTTCACTTCATTGGCCAAAACCATTTTTTTAAAGTATATAAACAGTATTAGATCAGTTATAAATACACTGTCTTTATGGGCTACTATGTCACGAGTAAAAACTAGTTTTCCAAAGACAAGATTTTTTAATAGACATCTGACTGGAATTCATGGTGTATGCATATATTGAAAAGTTGTTGTTTGCTTCAAACCAAGTAAAAGATCTGATGAACATCTGTAACTGAATGTACATTCATTTCATAATAGAATGTTCATTGAAACAAACTATAAATACTATTACTATAAGTTTCCACTCCTTGACTGTTTTAACACAAAAATTAAGACTTTATAAAATTACACTCTGATGTTTTTTAGTTAAATGATTGTGACTTAATTTGATTACTCTATGCATTTCACAGCTTGAAGCTATTAAAGACACTGAGTGATCAAAAACTAGAATAAGCTTTAATGTTGTTGTTTTTCTGTGCAATGAATCACTTACTCAAAAACCCCTTGGGGTGAAACATCTGTTCATGTATCTCGGTGTACTTGTTCTGTATTGAACAGCATTGGCTGGCTACATAATGTCATGGTCTCCCACACTCTCATGTAATGTGACCAATAATTTGTTTTTAGAGTAGCAAAAAGTTGTCAAAATGTAACAATACCAAACCTCTATTTATACAACCCTAAATATAATTGTATACATGACATTGTAGAAATATAATAATCTTATGTACACTTTTAAATTGTAAAAATAATCTTATCATTCCATGAAAGAGCATTGCAACACATTGCCTGAAATATTTTCACATGCATATTGCAGTCCTCTACAGTTGAAAAATGTACAAAGGCTGTAAACAGCCCCACCAAACAGTCAATGTGGGCTGTTAGCAGACTGGTGGCATATCTCAATTTTTTGTTTACGAAAGTGGACAATAAAAGTTAATTAGTATTGACTGACTTGTACCGTTTGTCTACCAACAAAATGGTTTCGCTGGTTAAACTGAGATAAGTTCACATCATTCCACTGAACTATGACTACCTTTGATCAGTATGGCAACCCCTGCAGCCTTATGTCATGACAAATAATAACAGGATCTGAATTCAAAAGTTTTTTTGTTTTTTTTAAGAATAAAAACCAGTAGTGGGCCCAAAATAGCAGGTGTTATGGCAGACTTGACGGAGGCTATAATGAGCCTTCACAAAACTCATTTTATGGAAGCTTTCGAGTGTCAGTGTGATGGCACCCGCAAAATGTGAAGGACTGACCTTGGAAACTGAATAAACAGTGCTTCACCTTTTACCCTTTTTTATTATATGGAAATAGTAAATCACAGGACTAGAATTGTTTTGTAGATATCATACATAAAGTTGTATTTCACCTGTACTCATTATTGCCAGCATTTTATTTATAAAAGGAATATTAAAATCCTACAGTGTGAAATTAATTTGTTTTTCAGTGGTACTATACGTAAAAAAAATTTAAATAAGCTTTTAACAGGTCACAAATTAAAAAAGACCATTTAATTTTTTCATAAGTTATCTAAAATTATAAAACAATTTGACAAAAAAAAATTTGCTAAAAAAGTCTACTCAAGTTTCATTATTGTTTAAACAAAATTAATAAAGTTTAATAATGTTTATCATAAAAAAGCATATGTTATGAAAACACAACCATAATTGTTTATTAATGGATATATAATTACAAAAGTCACTATCCAAAAGATATAAATTACAAACCAATATTGATTTAGTAAGTATAAGAGTGACTAGAGCAGAACTTTCTTGAACTTGTTAAAATGATATACATATGGATTTTTTTCCTATGGTTCATTTGTCATGTATATGTGCAATATTTATTTTTTTTATATAATGCTACAAAATTATCAAATTGGTGCCACCTGTATAAACATTACCTAGCTAAATATTGAAAAGGTTTTTATTAGTTACTATTAAATATAAGAGTATCTTACCCTTGTTTATATTTTGCATCAAATGGCAATCCTTTTTGCTCTTAGCTGATAGTGGCTTGTCCCTGTCATCAACAACAATGCACATTTCTTCCAAAAGTTTTCTTTGCAGTGAATCCATTTTCATTAAATCGACTTCTTCACACTGCTGCGATACTGTATTTGAGGTCCATTCAGTTTCCCCCTTACACTTATGTGTTACTTTTAAAATCCCACTGGTCATTTCTCTTCTGAAGTAATAGTTAGAATTATTCAATAGTGACTGTTGCAGAAGCCTAATAAAGAAACGAGACACATCTATGGATGAGTCATTTGTTGAACTACGTGTACAAATTAGTTACATAATACATTACTTTATGTGTGTGTGTGGGTGGGGGGGTGACAGCAAGTAGCAAGATTTAAATAATGAAGTGTTAACAAACATTATCAATGCAAATGTAAGAGACACTAGGTTTGATTTACTTCCCATTTTATAATTTATGTGGACTTTGATCTAAATTTCCTGTTTCTCGTAAGCCCTTTTTGATTTTCTAATTAACTTGTTAACCAAATACCTAACTTCTTACAGCTCTATAAATCTCTCAATCTATTTATCACTTTAAACTTTTTAACCTTACAGCATTTATCCTTCATCCTCTCCTCTAAATCTAGTAAACCAATTAGGTTTGATCTTTACTATTGTCCCTTTAATTGTTTTTAGGAATAGGCCTATCAAGAATTAAAATTGACTTTCTTTTAGAAATTTCCTAAATCTGTTCCATATCATTTTTTAACTCACTGCTCTATCCAGTATTCATATATATTATACCTTTACCTCAAAATTGGCTTTCTGAAAATTAGAAACTAAAAGCTCGCTTTCTTTTCTTATTTCACCATGTTATCAAACTTAATTATGTAATGATCACTCCTTTCCAAATATTACTGGTAGTTAACAATAAATAGAGAATGACATCCAATCCTGTTTGTATCTCATCATTTGGTATAGAAAATTAACCTAAATCACTTCAATAAATCTCTCTCCCTTAGCATACAACTCTATATAATCCCAATCAATGTCAATAAAATTAAAGTCTCCATAATTACTGCATTGGTATTCTTATTACTAACAATCTTGATCTCACTTCTCATTGACTTTATCTGGCTGACCATGTGGCCTATAACAATTGGCAATTAAATACTTTCATATTTGTTACACATTAATTCTGATTTAAAATTACATCACATACTCCTATATGCACTTCAAAAAAAGACAATGTTCCTTGGTGTCGTAAACTAAACTGTCAACATGCTCTATGATGTCCTGTATTTTAGCAGTTGGTAAGCAAATTCTAGTCCTAGTTTTTCTCTGCTTTCCATTACAAATTATTTTATGCATATAATGCAAGAAAGCCTCTACTATGTAAGCCTCTTGATCATCTTATTCCTTTTAACAGTCAGTCAATGGTCCAAATATGTTGGAGGTTGGTACTCCAATGCTAACTGAACGTGTCTCTACAGCTTTAACATTTTTACTACTGTTTACCCTGGTAAATCCATCACTCACACTCTCATTTTTCTCCAAAGCTACTTTTAATATAACTCTATCCACTTCCTGTATTAACAAATATATATATATATA